CCTCCGTGTTCTTACACGTCAGGCTGAGAAAAAGATCCTGCCCGTTGGGGAGAACGGAGTGCTGGGTGCTCTCTGCAAGCTCGTCGTCCTCCTCCTCCTCCTCTTCCCGATCCGCAGAATCCTCAGGTGTAGCTGATGAGATTATCCCCGCCTCAGAATCCCTGGTCAGAGGTGGGGTAGTGGTGGCGGCCCCCCCTAGAACTGCATGCAGCTCGGTGTAGAAGTGGCATGTCCATGGCTCTGACCCGGAACGACCGTTTGCCTCCTTTGTTTTTTGATAGGCTTGTCTGAGCTCCTTGACTTTCACGTGGCACTGATCTGAGTCCCTATTGTGGCCTCTCTCCATCATGCCCTTGGAGATTTTTCAAAAGTTTTGGCATTTCGTCTTTTCGAACGAAGTTCTGCTAGCACTGAATCCTCTCCCCATATAGCGATCAGATCCAGTACCTCCTGTACGGTCCATGCTGGTGCTCTTTTTCGATTATCGGCCTGCATGGTTACCTGTGCTGATGAGCTGTCTGTGGTCACCTGTGCTCTCCACGCTGGGCAAACAGGAAATAAAATTCAAATGTTCGCGGGGCTTTTCCTGTCTACCTGGCCAGTGCATCCGAGTTCAGATTGCTGTCCAGAGCGGTCACAATGGTGCACTGTGGGATAGCTCCCGGAGGCCAATACCATCGAATTGCGGCCACACTAACCCTAATTCGAAATGACAATATCGATTTTGGCGCTACTCCGCTCATCGGGGTGGAGTGCAGAAATCGATTTTAAGAGCCCTTTATTTTGAAATAAATGGCTTCGATGTGTGGACGGGTGCAGGGTTAATTCGATTTAACGCTGCTAAATCCGAATTAAAGTCATAGTGTAGACCAGGCCCAAGAAACCCTGACCTTTTGTAAGGCACTGGATATGGAGAAAACTTGCAACCATAGATTGTGGGCTTGTTCTCCTACTGAAACTTATGAAGCCTATATGCTCTCAGAAGCACTGTCATACAAAAGAAGACACTGGAAGAACTTTGGCTAATTTATGTCAAGGTTGTATCCTCTGTGCTACCAGGCTAATACTGTTTATTGCTTTCTTCGTAATACTTCTACCATTCCAGGAAAAAAAGGATAAGTTAAGGATATAGTTCATCACAATCTGAATGTTTATATTGTTCTTTTGTCAATAGGCAAATTCACCACTGAAAGTTGAAAGCTGCTAAACTTTCTGGTATCTTAACAATTACTCACTTCTAGTTTTCTCTTAGCATTTTAGGAGAGGATGGGCTGCATGCTACTAATGTGGCAAAAATTGGCATTAGAGAGAGAAAATAGTTCTGTGGATAAGGCACTAAATTGGGACTCAAGAAATTTGGGTTCTGTCATGGTGCCCCAGATTTCCTTGAGCAAGTCACTTAATTGCACTATGACTTGGTTTTCCATCTGTAAAACGGGGAGCAATACTCTGCCTTGCATAGATGGCGTGAGGATAAATTCATTTATATATTCAAGTGCTTAAATACTATCGTGTTGCGTGCCATAGAAAAGTATGTACTTTTTTTTGTAAGAGCTCGATCCTATAAGGTGATTAAAATCAAATGTGTGCTTAGGTAATTTGCTGGATTGGGAGTGCAGTGTTCTGCATCTTTCATTAATCTGTACATTAATGTTTTTCCTTTTTAAATATTCTTATCAGATTTTCATGGATCTCAATAGTGCCAGCACTGTTGTGCTGCAGGTCTTGACCCAAGCCACCAGTCAAGATACTGCTGTGCTGAAACCCGCTGAGGAGCAGTTGAAGCAGTGGGAGATACAGCCGGGCTTTTATTCAGTCTTGTTGGTAAGCTGGAGTGAAAAGTGCTATTCATTACATGTTTATATATATATATATATATATAATTTTCTACCATTCAGCCTTTTCCTGTTACTTGTCACCTGACTAAGTTTTGAAGAGGTGGGCAGGACATTTACTTGATCACGTGCACTTATTTATACTTGTAGGAAATAAGTCTCAGTCTTGCTTCTGTAATAGTTCAGAGAATGGTTTTCTCCTATCAGTTGTAGTAAATAAACCATTTTCAACACTGGTTCAGGAGTGCTTGTTGTTAGTAACATGTCGTCTGTGACAAGTCAATTTTTTAATGTAGTTAAGTCTTCAATGGCTAGGTACTTGTCTTTTGCTTTAGTTATTCATATCTTAATCACAAAGAGAGGGGGATGTAGTACTCTAAACTTCCACATTTGCTTTTTTAGAAGAGTTGATGTAGTATGACCAAATTAAATGTCTGCATAAAAATACTCATTAAAAACAGGAAGCAAATCAATTGCTATATGTCAGACTATTGTAGTAAAATATGACTGTGGGCCAAATCACAACATCTGCATGGAAAGGAGGAGGATGGGGAAAGTAAATTTCATCTTGCAATTTCCTTGGAATTGTCCCATGAGGGGTGTGTGGGGTTTGCCTCTTTTGGAGTGCTGGGTGAGCACGGTCCTTCAAACCAGTTGCTGTCCTGATATCTGCAGGGCTTTCCCACAGATCTTGTTATATTTGAGGAGAGCTGGAATGTTTGCTTGGTGGCCCAGAAACCTCTGCATTACTCCCAATGTCTCCACTTCTCCTCTCCCAAAATGGCAGTAAGGTTCTTCAGGAACCATTATGACAGCAGTCCCAAACTCTCTTCTTCCCCCCCGCACACAGTTATAAGGGGATCAATTTGTGGAAGGTCTTAGAGAGGGTCAGCACTATATTACATGAGGAAATCTCTGCAGATTTGAAGGGGAATAAGTAAGATAATAAGTGCACAATAGTAGTCTTCTGGCTCTGCCTCTCTTATCTAGCCACACTCCCTGAAACTGCAGAGCCCTAAACTTGTGGAAATCTGGTTGGAATTGAGGGTGAGGAAGGTGATACTTACATTCAACAATTCCCCACGCCTCACACCCTTGTGACAGAAATTGGTCCATTTCTATAGTTTTTCATCCCCTGTGTATGGAAAAACAGAAGTTGAGCTAGCCCTGTTTTTATCCTATAAGACAAGAATATTTAATTAAAATGTTTCAATAATAGTCATTTTAAACTATGATGATCTCTTTTTTACAATTTTGTTTTCATTGAATGTTTTCTATTAAATAAAGCTTATAAACTTTATAAGGGGTGGGGAGTGTTATCTCTCTGCACAGCACATTGGACCCATTAATGGTAAGGCACATTTTCAACAGATTATTTTTCCTTTGGTGAAAAAGATCAGTAATGATAAAATAACTGTTTCATTTGACAGCAATGCAGCCAGAGCATATAGCACTTCTTTGGTTAGGGATCTGACATATTTTTGTGTATTGCAAAATCAGAAACTTCTTAAAAATGTCCATGTATCTCTCTTGTCTCCTGGCATAAAGTTGATATTGTTTAATTCTCCAGCCGCTCTCTTTAAAGTTAATCTTTTAATTATTTCTGGGGGAATTCTGTGCCAAAAAATTAAAAATTCTGCATATTTTATTTGTCAAAATAGCACAATATAGTCACACCAGTTTCAATTATTTTTGGTCATTTATTTCAAAATACCTGTCAGCAAGTATGTAACAATACAGACAACAAAAAAGATTCAAGAAATGTTTTTTGACAAATAGATTCCTTACTAGGTATAATACAGAACTCTGAGTAATAATTCATATAAACTGTAATACAGAACCATATTTCCCCCACCCCTCAGAATTCTTGCAAAGGCTTGGAGGAGTCATCGGTAACAGAGGAGCTGAGGGAGAGGGAAGAAAATTGCTCCAAAAGAGCCTGGATGTGAACTTGGAGGGTTGTTGGTATGAGTGGGAAAAGTATGGAACAGGTTTGTTGGGGCAGGGACGGTTGTTAGAGAGCTTCCCCCATTCAGACCCTGGCTGACCCCTAGCCTCTCCCATTCAGTCAGGCACATCTGCCCTGTCCCTGTGTTTTTCCTGCACTCCCATGTGTCCTTGCATGCCCTGGCCACATGTGTCCCTCCACCCCCACTCAGACACTCACTCGCCCCATCCCCATGTGGCTTTGTACCCCCTTCCCCATCCCCATGTGTCTCTGTGCCCCCACCCAACCACTCTCCTGGCCCTATGTGTCCCTGCACCTCCTTATCCCCTGTGGCCCTGTGTCTCCACTCCCATTCAGCCTCTGCCCCAGTCTGTCCTCTCTCACTAGCCCTATGAGCGCCTGTCTGAGCCCCCCCGCCCAGCACCCCACATTGTCTGTCTCCCCATAGCCCCTGTCTCCTGACCTGGCCCGCTGCGAAGAAGGCAGGCTCTTTCTCTTTCCTTGCTGGTGGGGAGCTGCTGCTTTTTTCTGTCGCCACAGCGCTGTCCGGTGGGTAAAAGGTGGAACCGCAATAACATTTCGGCAGAAGCTTTTTTTCTGCGCAAAAAAATAAATATATGCAGGTCTCGTTAATTATGCACACACGCAGTAGCACAGAATTCTCCCAGGAGTATTTTAATGGAAGTTTGTGTGGTGTTAGAATGATTTAGAAAATCACTTATAGCTGTGGCAAAAAAGTATCTTAAACACTGTATGTGTTTAAGTATTTGGGTTGCTCTTCCCTCCATTGCTACATTTTCCCACATGTCTGCTGCCTAGTATTGTCCTCTGTACTTCCCTCTTCATGGTGAGAATGGATTCTGAGACCTGGAAGTGTAGCTTCAGACTCTTCCTCCCGAATGTCTTATGTATACAGTCTACTCCTGAGTGAGTTCTGTGCCAAAAAAATTAAAAATTCTGCACACAGTATTTTAAAATTCTGTAAAATTCTGCATATCTTATTAACACATTATAATCACACCAGTTTAAATTATTTTGGTAATTTATTTCAAAATATCTGTCAACAAATATGTCTGTAACAATACGGACAAGAAAAAAGATTCAGGAAATCTTTTTTGACAAATAGATTCCTTACTAGCATATTAGTACAAAACTTTGAGTAATAATTCATTTGAACTACAATACAGAAACCTATTTCCCGCACAGTTCAGAAGCAGTGCAAAGGCTTGGGGGAGTCTGGGCTAATGGAGGAGCTGAGTGAGAGGGAAGTAATTGTTGGAAAGGAGTGAATTTGGAGGGTTGTTGGATATGGGTGGGAGAAGTATGGAACAGTTTTTCTTTTTTTCTGGGGTGGGAGGGAGATTGTTAGGGAGTTGGGGAGCCGCCCCCATACAGACCCTGTCTGACCCCCCCTAGTCACTCCCATTCAGTCAAAAACATCTGCTCCTGTCTCCTTGTGAGCCTGCACCCCTTCTCCCCTGTCCCTGTGTCCCTGCACCCCCACTAAGCCATCCCTGCAGTCCCATCCCCATGTGTCTCTTTACCCTCTTTTCCCCCATCCCCATGTGGCCCTGGACCCCCACTCAGCCTCTTTCCTCCCCCTGTCCCCATGTGTCCCTGCACCCCCAATACCATTCTGCTCTGGCTCAATGCTGTCACTCCACTAGCTCCTGTGCCCCCACCCCAGTCTGTCCCCCCACTAGCTCTTCTGAACCCCAGTCTGTTACCCCCTGCCCCCAGCAGCCCCATGTGCCCCACTCTGTCCGTCCGCCCCATATCCCGTGCTTCCTCACCTGGCCCCACGGTAGGGCACTGTGAGGAACACAGACTCTGCTCCCTGCCTCTGTGCGGCTGGCTGCTCCAGTGCGAGAGCCGGCTACCTTCTGTTCTGGTGCCACAGCAGCCCCTGGTGGGGAAAAAGGTGTAATTGCAGCACCTCTCCGGCTGAATCTATTTTCTGTGGTGTAAAAAATACCTGCGGGGGGACATATATGCATAACATTGGGTATTATGAGATGACTACACCATCTTTTAATTCTCTTATTCTTAAAATTTTCCACCATAAACCTTCTTCAATTAATATAAATTTTGGGACATTTGTGTTTAACTCTAAAGTCAAACATATTTCAGTAGGAGCGATCTGGGTCTCTGCTACTTTGTTATTAACCTTATTTAGAATATAAATCACAACATTAAATTAACTATAATGTTATATCCATTCAGTATACTATGTCCATATAGAGTAAAATATCCTGGATGCTGTATAGCTCAGCTTCCATTTCGCTATATCCCTTTATCATAACCACATGAATATAATATTCATTATTTATTGTGGAAAATTGGTCTGAAAACAACAAGATGCAATTCAATAAAGGCAAGTGCAGAGTACTTCACTTAGGAAGGAGAAATCAAATGTACAACTACAAAATGGGGAATAACTAGTGAGTTGGTAGTACTGCTGAAAAGGATCTGGGGGTTATAGTAGATCACAAACTCAATATGAGTTAGTAATGTGATGCAGTTGTGAAAAAGGATAATATTCTGGAGTGTATTAACAAGAGTGTTGTATATAAGACACAGGAGGTAATTGTTCTGCTGTGTTTGGCATTGGTGAGGCCTCAGCTGGAGTACTGTGTCTAATTCTGGGTACCACACTTTAGGAAAGATGCCAAAAAATTGGAGAGAGTCCAAAGGAGAGTAACAAAAATGATAAAAGTTTTAAAAAACCTGACCTGTGAGAAAAGATTTAAAAAACTGAGCGTGTTTAATCTTGAGGACCTGATGTGTCTTCAAATATGTTAAGAGCTGTTACAAAGAGTACGGTGATCAATTGTTCTCCACCTAAGGTCTGACAAGAAGTAATGGGTTTAATCTGCAGCAAGGGAGATTTAGGTTAGATACCAGGAAAAGTGTATTTAAGTTCTGGAATAGGCTTCCAAGGGAAGTTGTGGAATTCCCATCATTGGTGATTTTTAAGAACAGGTTGGACAAACACTTGTCAGGGATGGTGTAGGTTTTTACTTGGTCCTGCCTCAGCGCTGGGGTCTGGCATTGATGACTTTTTGGGGTCCCTCCAGCCCTACATTCTATGATTAGACCATATACTAATCTTGTTGTTCTACATCTGGACTATTTCTTCCGCTCTCATGTCTATCCTGTTGTATTGATGATGCATCTTTGAGCTGCCCTGACTCTTGATCTGATTAATTCCCAGTGATTTCTTTTTGACTTCTAGGACCAATGCCTTTGATCCCATTCAGATTATTCTTGATCTGATTCACCTATTCCCATGTCTATAAGTACCTGTTTACCTTCTTTTGGATCTATCCTTCCATTTAAATGACTGTCTAAATGGGAACCCCCATTTGTATCTTATGTAGTTCTGTCTAAGAATTGTGGTCACCTGGTCACTCTTCACTTTGTAAGGGATCTGGGAAAATTTGTATCAGCTGATTAACAATCATCAATGGTTCAGATCTCCCTCGGTATTTTATCCTTGTCTTGTTAATAATGTAGACAGACAGTTGCATCTCTTGATCTGGAGCCTGCTGGGGGCCTGAAGACAAGGGATTTGTGAACCCTTTCAATTTGAATGAGCTCTTTATTGCCCTCTTTTAATACGGCATGGAAAATATTGTCCAGTGTGTCCACCTTCTATCCTTCTTTCAGAGTCTTGGCTACTATAGACTCCGAATTATGGAGTCAGGGAAAGGTCACAGACACTCTGTCCTTTATGTCCTCGCAGGGAGCATGAGGCGGCACAGGGCACACTGTGGACAGAAGGCCTCAGTGGGCACTGCTGTTTAAAAGAATCCAGTCTCTCATCCATGAGGCTCATATATAACTAACAACACACTAACAACATCTTGAAGAACCACAGTTACTGTATAGTAGGCAATGGTTCTTTCTGCCTTATTATGGGAGGAAGGCCATTGTCTGAATCAAAGTTAGAGGTTCCAATTATGTATAGATTAAAAATAAAAGGAACATGTATTATAGGTGGGGCTGGTATCACTTGTTAAGGTTGACCAACACTTTCCATTATAATACTCTGTTTTCGTTTGATTAGAACTTTGCCAGACTTTACCATTTGGGCTGAAATTTTCCATGCTGCATTCTGTTTCTGGATGAATTTTTCTGGAAAACTTCAGCTAAAACGTTGCAGGCATTTCCAAGAACGAGGCTAAGGAAAAGATATGTTGTTCTGCTCATAATAGAAGTTACCAGAACTTAATTTGAAAAGCCCTAGTGCCTCCATGCTTTAGGGTAGGGTTTTGAAATTTGGTAAGGGAGGTGGGCTTTGTCAGGGATATGGCTTTTGATTTCCCTATGAAAATCTACTCAAATTTGTTCATGTTTTAAACCTTTTAAATATCACACTTAGCACGTTCTCACTGGAGACTTCTTTGATTTTAGCTGCTAAATTCCAAAAGATTATGACCAGGCTGGGCCTGTTCCAGGCTGAGCAGAACTTTTCTTGCAATTGCAGTTCTGGTCTGCTGTGATCTCTTCTATGTTGTCAGTGACCACCTGTTTGCTTGGCCCAGGCAGCATATGCGGGAGGAAGCTGATTTTCAGAGAGGACAAGAGCTGGACTTGCAGAAGGGTGCGTGTGGAGGAGTAGATTGAAAGGAGGAATCGGGCAGGGAAATTGGGACTGTAGACTGGCTGAGGAGTAGTGAGGGGGAGACTGGGAGTTGGGGTTGGGAGAGACTGGGTCTGGAAGCTGAGGAGGGAAACTGGGATGCAGAGACTGGGAGCCAGTAAATGCTGTTGGGGAGAGACTGGGATCAGATGAGGCACTTGGGTGTGCAAGGGCTGGGATTGGTCGGACAAGGAGACTAGGTATTGTGCAACCAAACAGCAGGCAATTGAATTCTGTCTACAACTATTGTTTTGTGTTCCTGCAGGATTTAACCCATGTCAGTTGTTTGTCAGCAATACAATAACCACTAAACCTGCGGATAGCTATATATATATATAAAACACACACTCACACAGATTTATACAAATGCCTTCCATGTTCTTCTCACCAACAATACATATTACTTTTCTGGATCCATATTACTTTTTTTGTTTAATTTCTCCAGTCAAAACAAAAATACTTAGAGGTTGATGAATCAAAAATGCCCAATTTTTGTTGTTTAAATCACTTGATCTATCTAGGTTCTTATACTACCTCCCTCACCATGCTCTGAATGTTGGATGGCAAGATAAGATGGTCTGGGAAGGTTGTTGCATTCTCAGAGGCATCACTTAGAGGTCTAATCTTCAGGTTTGACTTATCTAGATTCCAAGGAATAACAACAATTCAAATCCAGCTAGCCATAGCCTATTATTTTCCCATGATGTTACTAAATGGAGTTCAATCAATTTACTGTATTGAAGGTTCTTCTGGATGAGATCTTACAAACACAGGTCTCATATGCTGTGTATGTACATTAAAGATGACATGAGGGAAAATTTATCACTCATTATGATGATTGGAAGAAAGGTGAAGTCTTAACTTTGGGAGACTTGTGGACTAGACCAAGAATTAAATAATATTTTAACTTTTTTTTCTTTACAGAATATCTTTACAAATCATACTCTGGATGTAAATGTAAGGTGGTTAGCTGTGCTGTACTTTAAAAATGGAATTGATCGCTATTGGAGGCGTGTAGCACCACAGTAAGTTGTATGTTTCCTTTGTTTACATGTTAGAGTAGATTTTGTTGCAGTTTCACCACTGCTAAACAAAAAATTATAACTGATAGGAGGGAAGAAATGTGTGCCTTGAAGTTATAGATTTATATTAATTTTCAGCACTAGAAGGGACATGAAAAAGCCAATAACTCATTAATGAACTAGTTTATTCATACTTTGGCACTTACAATTTGTCCTGTGTTGCGTTGCTTTTAAGGACTGTGTTCCACAATCTAGTCATGTTTACTATATTTTGGGTAGGCACTGAACAGTTGCTATCTGAAAGTCTTAGTAATGGCAGACATTTGAAAACGTTAAAGGCTCTTTTGGATATTTTATGGGTACTCTTATGCTGAATGAGTCTAGAACTTGTACTGTAGGTGTATGTGTCAGATTTACAATACTCCGCTTTTTTTTTTCCCTCCACCGGCGACCCCCCCATGTGTCCCGATATTTTCTTCCTCTCATCTGGTCACCGTAGCTGTAGACTTTGAACCATTCTAAAGTCTGTGAGCTCTATGCTAAATTTATGAAGTGTACTGTTCTTGCCATGAGGTGCATTAAGAGGTCTGCAAGAGTAGCTTTAAAAAAATCCTTTTATATAGCAAAAAGAATATCAAGATATCTGTCATCTAGGATGCAATCTAATTTACATATTTGTGGAGAATCAGTAAGAACCGTGAATTATTGCTCTCCAAAAAGTATTTAAATAAATTAATAATCTTGGGTCTGTGCTTGGGCTTCATGGGAACTCCCATAAATCTAAATTTCTATTCTATTGATTCTACCAGAGCTAGCCCCCCTGCTCTTCCTGCTGAGGTAACTGGAACACTGGAAATAATCTTCAGTTCTTTTCTTACCAACAACAAACTACTGAAACAGGAAAATAATATGAAGTTACATAACCATAATTTCTTTGCAGAGTTAGGCAGTTGAGTGGTATGCAATTAAAATACATATTGCCGCAGAGCAACAACTACAATACCAGTTTTCTAAAGATATCCTTCTTAAAGGGTTCTCAGACTAAAAAGCTCCAGGGATCTCTGCAGCACTCTCTCAAAGAAAAATGTAACAGGTAGTAAAACTCACTAAGGCATGTTTGCTTTGTGAGTAGATTAAGAATAATTATTCTATATATTTGTACACACAACTATTTTTAATAATGGCCTTTTGGAGGAAGTGACCATAACCATTTTGTAGTGTTAGATCTCCCATTCTCTTCACCTCTTTTGGGGCCACAGGGAAGACAATAGCCCCTATTTTATAATTGAAGAGTTTTATGGAAAATGAGAAGGTGACTTACTGAACTCGGTTAGGCCCCTCCACTCTTCCCCAGGTCTGGGGAAAAGGACTCTGGCATAACAAGAACTAATGTATGTTTGTACCAAGGCTGACTATAACTTCTTTTCCTCTAGTTGCTGATCTAAGCAATACTAGTTCTAGCTACTAGACTGGGTAATGGACTTCTTCTAGCGCAGATTTAATTGTTTGTACAGCACCTGGATATGTTGCAAACATAGTAGTCCAGCTGCTTAAGCTTGATAAGCATGTACTTACATGTCTTATTTGCAGCACTTCATATCCCCTATTCTAGGAGAGATTGTGATTTCTCCTTTTCCTTTTGTCTGGCATCTTCTTACTTTGACAATGTTGTGTCTCTAGTAGTGTCATCACTTCTCTTCCTAACATAGGCACAGCATAGCATCTGGGCCTCTCAAGAACACAGAAGGTAACACCTGGCTTCTACTTGACATGGAGGCTTACAGCTGCCTCCTCATGGCTGCCTGTGGGCTGTTCAGCAGCCTAGAATTACTCCTGAGGGAATTCTGTGCCCCCAAAAAAAAAATTATGTGCACAATATTTTAAAATTATGCAAATTTTATTTGTCAATAAATAAATGTGGCTCCAGCATGGCAGTGGGGAGCACAGGCCACTAAATGCATTGAGGTTGGAGATCACCCTGAAGCCCCCACCTCCCCCGGTATAGGGACTCGTCAGAGAGGCTGCATCCGACCCTGACACAGTGCAAGGGCTGGGCCTGCCCCAGAAACAACCTGGGGCCCTGCCCCTCTTTGCCAGGTGCTCCAGGTGTAGGTAGGCAGGCTCAGCCCAGCAGGATTCAAGTGTGGAGGGGCTTAGTGTGGGGGGATCCAGGTATGGGGAGAGAGGGTTCTGTGTGGGGCAGTCTGGCTGTGGACAGCTCAGTGGGAGATCTGGATGCACAGGGGCTTATTGGGGGTTCTGGGTGCAGGGGCAATGGGACTCTGCAGGGGATCCAGGTGAAGGTGGTTGGGGCTCAGCAGGGGAGGTCTGGTTGTGGGGAGATGGGGGTGTGTGGGGCTCAGTGTGTGTGTGGGGTCCGGGTGCTGAAGGAATGGGGCTTGATGGGGTGGGGGTCCAGGTGCAGCTGGTTGGGGCTCAGTGGGGTGGGGGTCTTGGTGTGTGGGACTCGTCGGGGGGGATCTAGGTGTGGAGGGATAGGGCTTGTCAGGGTGAGGGTTCGATGGGCCTTCTTAATGGGGGAGCCCCAGCTGCTGCCGAGGTGCCCACCCATGACTTGCCTCTGTTTTGAGGGGGGGCAATCCCCCCCAAAACTGCACCCATGTTTTCTGCAGGGAAGCACAGGAATTCTGTGGGGGGTGGAGGAGCGTTTTCTGCAGGTATGCAGTTGCGCAGAATTCCCCCCCGGAGTATCAATGTCTGTAGTGCTGAATGCTATGGCCACTTCTCCCTCCTGCTACAAATACACCCCCCATGCCAGGGGCTGAAATAGAGCAGGGGTTATTGCCCAGCCTGCTATGGCCTCTTCACAGCTCCCTGTTTGTCGCTGGAGTGGGGCAGGGGCTATAATCTGGCCAGTTGTCTCTAGGATTCTATCTGTTACATATTCAACACTTCATTAAGCTGATGCTTTTCCTGCTCCTAATTTTTTCTCTGGGAAGCTGTCCTCTTTTCTGAGCTTGTGTTCCTTTGCTGCATTGTTTTCCTTGCTGTTGTGGATTGCTTTTCACTCCGTTCTTGTATATTTGGTGCCCCTCAATTAGGTTATTGTGGTAGCAACTTGAATAATGCTCTCTTACACCAAATTTATGCTTGGATTTGTGAGTATTCAGGATAAGTAGTCTTTCATCCTGGATTTCTGTGGATGACAAAAGAAAATACTTATTTGAATAAGTGAATGCCTCAGTTTTTCCTCTTTCCACACTTCATAAAACATCAAGACAAATACCCCTCTTCCTCCTCTCTGCCAAAAGAAAAAAAGTGTTTAATTGTCCAAACCTTATGATTTCAGTACCTCTGATGCCAACTCCTGTCTTTCTGGCTTCCAACTGAAGCAATTTAGTAGTGTTGCCTACCCTAGCTTTTCAGTCCATGAATTTTAACACTGAAGTGAAGTTAATTTAGCAAATGGTACTATAGTTACTTTCTCTGTTAAATACTTATTTTTGTTCATAATTTAGTTGTAATATAACAACTTAAAATATTAAGGGAAGATCACAATCTCTCTCTCTTGGTTTTTGACTCTCCAGCAAGTCTTTTGCAGTGGGCTCAACATAATATGGATGGGCAATTACCATCCAGCAGATGTCACTGTTGCATCACATGAGCTGCTTATCAATTGAGAAAAAAGTGTTCTGTAAACATGAGTTTCTTGTTTTTAAAGTGTCTTGAGACATTTTATTACATGTAACTATTAATGAGCATATTTTTGTTTTCTTTCTTCTGTTGTGCACTTGACAGTTCTTAGAAAGATCAATACATGAAGGATAAACCTCAGATACGTAACTTGTGCACAAATCAATTTTTCAAGTGCTTTTTAGCACTTTGCCATATTTCCTTATCATAAGATGTTTGTGTCTGAAGATTTTTCTCCTGAATAGTCCATCTTCTCCTATTTGATCCTGTAGTAGAACCCTAATCCTGACTTTTTCATATAGTGTTTATTTACATGAAGGATGAGTTGGGTGTAACAGATATGACTATTGTGGGATTGAGTGTAAAGAAAATTTGGCACAGGAGATGAGTTCCCGTTAAATAACACACAATATAAGTGAAAAAGTATTATCAGTTAAATTGCTTTTTTATGCTTTCTGTTTTTCCCAAGAGTATCCTGTTGGGCAATTACCATCCAGCAGATGTCACTGTTACTTTTAAAATGAAGATTAAATGTCTTAATTGTAAGCACAGTAGTTTACAAATATCAGAAAATGTCACTCAGAAGTGTAGGCTTTTGTGATTGGCTATTTTTTAAGACATACTTGATATGTCTAACTTAGTGGTTCTCAAACTTCATTGCACTGGAACCCCCTTCTGACAATAAAATTACTTACGTGACCCAGTGGGTGTGGGTGAGGAGGAAGGGAGGAATGAAGCCCGGATACTGAGCCCTGCCGCCCCGGGACAGGGTGGAGCTCAGGCTTCAGCTTCAGCTCCAGGTCCCAGCAAGTCGAATGCTGGCCCTTTCAACCTTATTAAAATGGGGTTGCGATCCACTTTGGGGTCCTGACCCACAGTTTGAGAACCATTGGTCTAACCAAATAAAATTATGGTAGTGTCTGGTTTTTTAAACGGCATCTGGATACTTCAGATAATTGGAATTACTGTTTCCCGAACATATTTTCCACTTTTATAGAACTATTCAAAAACAGTAGGGTAAAATTTTGAAAAATATCCATATCCCATTTCCAAAAAGATATTTAGGCATCTACGTCTCATTGAAAGTCTATCGGACTTAGGCTCCTAAATGCTTAAATTCATTTTGAAAATGGGACTTAAAAGCACTTTTGAAAATTTACCCATGTCCTAAAATTTGTCTAAATTAATCTGGGGAGTAGGGGAGAGGAGAGTACGTGTGATGTAGCTGGAGAGGAATATCGCTGAAAACTAGGAAAATTGCTATAAATGTTTGATGTAAGAACACATCTCATTTTGTTTTGTATTGCATTAACTTGGACCTTTAAGGCTTGTCTAGACTAGGCTAAAAGGTATATTTTTAAGATAACAAGTTTTAAACAATAGGGAACTTAGTAGTGTTTGTTGGGAGAACTGAATCCTAGAAGGGAGTCAGTCTGGTTAGTGTCTGGTACGTTTCTCTCTGTTGCTTGAGAAAACTGTGAAAAGGAATGTAGATTCTGGAACTGTCAGCAAACTCAGGAAGAGAACACTGGTTCATTTAACATTTGCAAGTGTCTCTCTGCAGCCATAAAAGCTTGATAGAAACGATTTAGGTGAAAGCTTACATTCTGCTGAAAATGATCATTTAGGTCCTTTGCCAGAGATCTTTCCATGTGCCAACAGTTAATGTGTGAATTTTTTTTCCAGGCCCTGTATAATCTGTAAATCCTGATGAAATGTTTTAAAATTCCTTATTTTGAATGCACAATAGGCCATTGTCTAACTATTTTTTCATTTAGACTTCTCTAAAAAAGATATAACTACAGTCGTGTGCAATATGGTATGTTGCAGAAGTGAGAAATGGTTAAATTATATAGTAATACACCTCTACCCCGATATAACACTCTCCTCGGGAGCCAAAAAATCTTACGGCGTTATAGGTGAAATCACGTTATATCGAACTTGCTTTGATCCTCCGGAGCGCGCAGTCCCACCCCCCCAGAGTGCTGCTTTACCGCATTATATCCTAATTCGTGTTATATCGGGTCGCATTATATCGGGGTAGAGGTGTATATAGTCTCAAATTGTATAAGAAGTTACGTAAAATAAATGTGAAAGGAAGGCTTAAAACTGTATTTGCATAAAAGTTGACCATAGAGCCTGGAATTTATCGTCCCTAATCTGTTTTTCTAGTAAGTTATTGCTACATATATCAATAATTTTCACTCAAATGCTGCCTCTTCCAAAGGACCTTCAGTTTTCCACTATAGCAGGGGTAGGCAACCTACGGCACGTGTGCCGAAGGCGGCATGCGAGCTGATTTTCAGTGGCACTCACACTTCCCGGGTCCTGGCCACCGGTCTGGGGAGCTTCCCAGAAGGCAACTTGGTTCATTCTTGTTGAGAACAATGGGAGATTACAGGCCATTTTGATTGAGGACAGTTCTTGAGTTTCTCTGAAGGCAGTTTTATGCTCCTGCCTCTGCTGACAGATAAATTTTCAGTTGTGAAAATCAATGGCAAAAATGACTTATTCCTAAAATTTTATTTTCTAAAGCTACTGTTGGCTCTGGATCTGTTCAATATAGAGAGCGAGAGAGAAGGGGAACATACATGCAGATGTATGTAGGTAGTGCAGCAGGGAGGGAGGCAGGGAGAAATTAAGGTCTCTCTGTGTGCACAAGTGAATATAGGGAGGTACAAAAACAGGGACAGGGAAAACTGGGATTTACACTATCTGTTTTGCATTGCTGTGGCAAAACAAAGCAGCTCTGAACTCGGTTTAATTGTGTTTTGCACAACTCTAGAGTTAGGTAAATTATTGTGAATCTGGTCATACAAATTAAAATAAAATGATTTAATGTTGATACTTCATATTGTCATATAATTAGAACTATCACATTATAACATTCTCTTGGAGATTCTTCCTTTAGTGTTCATGTATGAATCTTTTAATTACATAAAAGCAAGGAAATTCCCAGACAAAGCAATGCTAAAATGGAATTAAAATTGATAGTGCATCTCAATAATTTAGGATAAAAATACACATTACAGGGATATTGTAGTTATCCCAAAATCAAGTATTACGCTAGGGAAATTCAGAGTTAAGGTTTAATTTTTAAGAAATCCAAACATGTTAAGTTATAAACATTTACTGTTTATGTAATCCAAACAACTTTAATGCTGCCCTGTAGTGATGATAGGAAAATGCATGTTTAAAAATCAGTAGAATGACTTAATTATTATCAGGTTTCAGAGTAGCAGCTTAGAGACTAACAAATTTATTTATTATCATGTTTTTTTGCATTGTGTCAATGTCACTTAATCTTTCTGCAGCTTTATTTAACCTTAGGTGAAAATATAATATCTAATAACCTCATATGTGTTTTGAGGCTTAATTGTTTGTAATGTAATTTAAAATACATACTTTGGTGAAAAGTACAGTGCTGTATAAGGATAAAGTAAAAAAAGTATTATTTACTTGTGTTAAGTCCCTCACTGCTTATCCTTCCTTGTTATACATCAGCTTACAGTTCTGTACATAATATTTCATACACAGTATCAGTTTGATCCTGTTTTCTATATTTGTCCTATATTCTTTTGCAAGTTATCTGTGAGTATATGTGTTGGGTTTGAGTCTGTTAATAATGGACTGCAACCAAGATAAATCTGTCATAAGTCTCCTGCAACGTGATTTATATACGCTGCTGGAAGTCAATAAAAAGTAGATCACAAAAGGTCTCATAAGTGCATGTATTCGTCCATCTTTGTGTCCTCCTACTGTCTCTCCACTTTCTCAAATGTCAGTGACCAGAATAATGATCTTTTTATACTTCACCAGGCTGAAGTTTGTTAGTAGCAAGAAAACTATATGCATGAAAATATTCATCATCCAGTCAGATGTATTAAACTCAAATGGAAATAGTCTTTTCAGGGTGGATTGATTTAAATCAGAGCAATTTAAATCACTGATTTTAATCTTGATTTAAATCAGCAAGCAGGAAACCTTGATTTCAATAATTGATTTTAATCAGATTTTGCATTTTTACTTTTTTTAGTTATTTTCTCATAGAAAGGTTTTTTGTTTTTTTTTGTTGATAACCATTAAAACGTTAATTTGCAACTAAATACAGCCTTTATACTAAATTTGGCGCTCCTTTCTTATAAGCAAGAGGATATGCTCTGTCTACACTAATTAAGCAGTTATATAGCTTAATTAACATATATTTAGATTATAAATTTTTACGTTTATATTATGTTAGAAAATGTTGAATGATACATGTCTTTTTAATAAATGATTAACTTTTTACTTGTGATTTGTGTTAAGCTCTATTTGGATGGAAACTGGAATTCAGTTAAACATGCACAAAACCAGCATTTTATTTTTTTAATTAATTAAATAAAATTTCCTTAAATGTGGTAGATACATAAAAAAACACCTTTTCCATTTAAGATTAATTTATTAATCAAAGGAAGTATTATCCTTAGTTAGTGAACTGAAGTGGTTGTTTCAGGTCACTGTGTCCTGGAAGATTTTAGAACTAGTAGATATGTTTTCACACCTAGTTTTTATTCAGATTGGAAGAAGAAACAAGATTTCGTGCTTTTCCAGTTCCTAATTGGTTTCTTAACTTTGAATAAACTAGTCATTGAGCTGAACTAGTTGAATAAACTGAAATGAAAAAAATATTCTCACTGTACCTGCAGAAGAGGCTACTGCTGTCAAAAGCTGGTTTAGCATGTTCATCATGTTATGGTTCCAGGTGCTTAACCAGTGACTTCCAGCCATTCAGTGATCTGACTTTCTTTAAAACTTGGCAGCATACATATAGCGCTTAATATTATATTTTGTTTAATTTTTAAAAATATTTTAATAAATAATAAGTATATGCCTCACAATAGGTTGTCAATTTCAAATAGGTTATTTTTAAAAAATAAACTTGTATCTAATGTAAGTAAAAACAATTTAAATTAAAAATATTCAATTTAAATGAACAAATCTAATATTTTGATTTAAAAAAAAATCATTGATTTTTATCCAGCCTGGGTCTTTAAATTTTTTACTGATACTACCTATAAAAATAACTCTCTGTAAATATGCATGAAAGTTGGGGGGGATTTATAGTTTGAAAATATAACATGTTAATTAAACATCTTATTATAACAGTGCTCTTTCGGAAGAGGAGAAATCTACATTGCGTGCTGGGCTCATCACCAACTTCAACGAACCAGTGAATCAGGTTAGTAATGAAATTAATGATGATTAGTTATTCTCTTAACAAGTGCTCTTACTGGGATGTAACTTTTTTTTTTAAATGAAAGTTTAAAAATGAGATGTGACAGAATTTCCAGTTTTCATGTTTCCTTTCAAATAGTATTTCATGTTGATGTGGGATGTGAGATTTTTATCACAGAATTAAGTTTTTCTTAAGTATCAAGTTTTTCTTCATTTGACTGGATTATCGTATTTATGCCCTCGTATATTTCAGAATTAAATTTGTATCTCTTTGTGTTTAAATAACTAATTTTTGTACTTCTGGGTTTGTCTGAGGTAGACTAAAGACTCATTCTTTGAGTTCTGGTTCCTATGTTTATTCCACTGTGAATACACATGTGCTTCATGTGCCCAAAGTCAGAGAATTCTGGAAGGCAGGGTCTGTTGGTCTGTACATGTGCCCTCTCTCTCCTTGTGCCTCTAATCATGAAGATAAAGAGTGGAGCAGACTGTCTGCCTCTCCAGTTTCTTCATACTGCTGCACGGCCTGCGTTGGAAACTCCAGCATCCAGAGCTTCATCTTCCTTTATTCTTCAATCTGTAAATACATATGTATATATTTTGTAAATAGTTGAGAATTTTACTTGATAGTTTTTAGTTATGTTTCATAGTTAGATTCTCCATCCCTTCCACCAGTACCTCATTGCGGGTACTGAACTATGCCCAGGACTCTGGGCCTCAAAATCTGTGCTTCTTGCCAACACTTCTTCTCAATCAGTTATGACCATCAATGCTGCCTGTACAGCCGCAGGGGAGGGAGGGGCGGCAGGAATTTTGTCTTAAGAACCGCTTAATGGAGAAAGCAGTCGGACTAAGATTGGAGGATCCCCCTTTAGTACATCAGCCTGACTCAGCAATGAGTATACATCCTGTCGTGAGATCTGACTTAGGAGCCAGGGAATCTACTTCCACTGATCCCCCACTGGGGTCTTGTCAGGAGGGCAGGAGCATTCTCATAAAAACAAGAGCAAATTCTCTTCCAAAATCTCTTCAAAGAAGTTGGATATAACCCTGCGTAAGTCTTCCCACTCATCCCATGAGGACTTAGAACATCCTAAGTCTCAGGATCATGACAAGAGAGCCCCCAAATACAGGGCTCTTTTGCTACCAGACCATGCTCCAGTGGCAATGGTGCCTCCGGTACCAACTTAAGCCTAAACCCTGATAAACAATAGCACTGACAAAAGCCAAACATAGGGCGCCTCAACCACCAGCAGCATTGGCTCTGCCTTACCTAACTGTGGCACAAACTGTAACTGCGCTAGCTCTGTCATTCTGGGCAGGCCAGGACCCTTTGTGCTCCAGGGAGAGAGAACTGTTACTTAGGGTTGCAGAGGAGCTACAGACCCTCCAATCCTCCAGATCCAGCCAAATTGCGTTTCTTGTTAATGTACCCATTTTGGAACCAACTAGAACAGTCTGACATATCCCAGCCACTTGCATCCATACCCTTTGTCGCGGAGTGTGAGGGACTCAGGGCCCTG